TCACCGTAGTTCCAGCAGCAGCGTCGACCACTGGCTTGCCGCCAAAGTCCAAGGTCGGCAAGAAATCTCCCATCTCGCTAGGGGCATCTCCGGCATGGGCGCTGCTGTCACCGAGGCCGACCTCAACGGGCCGGAAGCCGAGGACGTGCAGATCGCCATAGCCCCAACACTTGAGCGACCGATCGTCCAAGATTGCACAGGTGTGGATCCCACCCACCAGCACTTTGACAACTCTGCGGTTGGTGCCTACATCCACCGACGGTAGAAGATCTCCCATACCAGTCCCAGCGTCAGTCTCCCCTCTAGAAGCCTTATCACCAAGGCCCAGCTCTCCGAACATGTTGCCACCCCAGCATTTCAAGTCCTGATTGTCCAGAAGAGCGCAGACATGGGTGCTTGCTCCGCCTGCATCCACGGACGTGGCTGTGCGGCCTGTTCCAAGGTTGACTTGGTTGCCGTAGGGGGGGGATGACGAGGTACGACCACCTGTCTGTCCGAACTGGTTATCACCAACGCACCAGAGCTTGCTCGGAACGCTTGCGCTCTCGACGATGGCGCAGCTACCATAGTTAAAAGCCGCAACGCTGGCCTGAGCAGACGCGTCCCCCCAAACCTAGAACCACGCCCATGGCATGCGCGACTCGCGGTGCTGAGTTCCCGACCAACACCGGAGCCGGGGTGGTGGTTGTGGTGGAAGTTCGCGCCGCACAGCTGATGCCTTACACACTAGCCAAGTGATGCATGTCGCTGGCTGAGATCTTCTCTGAGGCCCCGGGCAGGTGTCGGGGGCGATCTGCGGAGGGTCCTTGTACCAGCTCTTATCCAGATACTCGCTCTGCACCCAGGCGGTCTCACAGGGGAAGTCGGCCACTGGCGAGCTGTCGCAAACTTGCTTTGCCGCGGGGTCAGGGATGTGAACTGCCAGGCCGGAGGTGTCGACGACCAGGTCCTGGCAGGCTTGCACAGCAGCTTGGGTGAGGTTGCTCTGGAGCAGCTGGATGTAGCAGATGACCTTCTTGGCGGCAGTGTAGGAAGCCTCACGGCGTGAGTCCGAAGCAGCAATGGTGGCTAGCAACTGCAGCCACGTCTGGTTGACATTTTGATAGCAAGTGTCGATGGCGTCGCAGCTGTCCGTCAGCTGCTGTCGGTACTCACAGAAGTGGCTCTCCAAGGTGGATTGCTCCACCCGGCAATCCTCGCTGTGGTTGTTCACTGCATGGAGGCTGCTGAAATAGGTATCTTTCAGGGTGACCATGCTGGGTTCGAAGCTGCCAAAGAAGCTACTGATGGTGGCTGCGCAATCGATCATGGCCTGCAAATGCTCGGCCGTCTGCGGGTTGTAGCCGTTCAGGTAGGCCTGCATGCAGTTCCTCACGTCTTGGGGCAGCGATTCGTTGCCTTTGCGGGAATAGGCTTCCCAGTCTATCGCGTTCTGGTCCGACAAATTTTGCTCGGTGGTGCGGCAGGCGTCATGGGAGTCGCTGGCGCCGCTCACCAACGTGCTCAGGTTCTGGCTTTGAGGCTGTCGAGCCGACAAATCGCTGTTGCATTGAGCGAAGCCCTCCGCAAGGTCAAGGAGCAGCTGCTCGTCCGCGAGGTGGGAGGCGTTGATCTGCGCGAGTAAGCTGTGCATCTCCGTGAGCACGGAGTGAAGGAGAGTCATCGTGGTGTTGCTCAAGCCGAAGTTCTCGCGCGTCAGGTTGTAGTCGCTGAGATTTTGCGTATTTTCCATCTCCGCGAGCTTCTGCAGGGCCAGGGCCTCCATGTCCTTGTGGACCTTGTGGACCTCATCCAGCCTTCCTTCCTCCATGTCTGCTCCGCGCTCTGCCGCGTGCTCCGCCAAGCTGGGGAAGGGCCAAAGCGAGTGCCCGGACTTCCCGGTGACCTGCAGCAGCGCGGCCTGCTCACAGCCATCCTCGGTCGCCTCGCAGCCAAGGCTGGCGGCCAAGGTCACGGCGGCCGCGAAGGCTGCCAGGACCTCGCCACATGAGAAACGAGACGCCGTTGTCACAGCTGAAAAATGCCGAGTCGCAAAGCAAACGTCCCATTATCCGACCCCCCGCCGAGGCACGGCCAAGCGCAATGCGGTGCCATCGAGCATCGAAGCAGCACGCTGCGGCAGCGGCACAAAAACCACTTGAGCCGATTGACAGGAGTGCGCATGCCTCAGTGCCTGCAGGCTCCGCTGAACACGGCAGCCTTGGACAGTTTAGGAACCAAACCAAGCAAAAACAGCTCCCCTCCCCGTGCTATCGCAGTACGAGTACTTTCCGCAACCGCCCGCCTGCCCCTGAAAATTAACCTTCGACCGGCATGGCGTCCCCATTATCGGCCCTCACTCGGCTCGCAAGCCACGACTGGGTCTGGTCCTCCTCGGCAGCCACGGACCTGTGCTCGCCAAGCAGGACACAGGGAACTCGACAACAAAGTTGGCAAGCAGGAGCCGTATACTCCTAGATGCGACCAAAACACCTGCATTTTGGAGACTTTCGGCTCCCACCTTGGATTCACGGGCGAGGCATGACCCAATGCGACTCACTCCGCGCAACACGACAAACCCTTTGGAACAGATTTGTCTTGCCTGGGATAAAATAAACATCTGACCTGACCCCGATGCTGAACCAGAACATGGGGCAGCAAAGCTTTTTGCACCCATGAGCCAAGGCGCAACATGCGCGCGTGGGTGGATCCCGTTTCAGCCCTTGCCCCAAAGTGGGCTGCTACAAAAACGTGTCGCTGCAAAGACCCAGCAGGCATCAACATGAATAACTAATTGTATTACACAATTAAACATCGCCAACATAAATGTTACTCGTATGAGAAGGGCTCAAGAGCTCAACAACATGGATTTGGATTGCTGCCTTCCCATCTCAACACACCGACGTTGTGCATATATACCTAAGGCCGCGGACCCACCATGCACGTCGGAGCCTGGACTTCCGCGCTTGCCGTGTACACGTGCATGGGCGGTGCAATGGAGCGCACAGACAGTGCCGCGCTTGGACTGCCTGTCCAACAACACACCTTTTGCGGCTGCAAATTCGCCCTGTCCCCGCGAAACGAAACACGGGATTACGGGCTTGTGACAGCAGCAGCGCTCGAGATGCGGCAAGAAGGTGAGAAACATGCAACTCAAGCACGAGCTTATCACTGGCAAGGGAATCCCGATGCTGCCAGCCCCGCAAAAGATCGCCGAAGTCGCGGTCTGCTTGCCCGGATGGCGGCTGCCCCTGCTGCCGCGGACTCAGCCCGCGGACATGCACGCGCCGGCTTTACAGTGACACTCCTTACAAATTTGGCACCAAGCGTGCTTCCACGTTTTGAAGCAGGAACTGGATTAGTGAGTGTCCAACCACGCAAACGAGCACACTTTTTGGTCTGAGCCCAAGACGTCTGTCGTACAGGGTGCGTTCAGAACTAACACAAAAACTACGCTCGCATGAGGACATGTCAACACGGCGCTTCAAGACAGGGAAATTTCACACCCGTCTTATCTGTAGTGTGACGTCCGAATCATGCTCGAATTTGATCGCTTTGGACCAAACCTACTTCACCGGATTATACCGGGAGCTTGCGCAGTCAACCGAGCCGAGTACGGCGACTCAAGGCTCTAGGCTGAGTTCTTCAATCGCGAAGCGGAGTGCTTTCGGTACTCTCGGTATTCTGTGCGGCTTGCGCGGGCACATCGAGTACCTGAACGAGATTGCGATCAATGCTGTGATTGATCAAAAGCGGTTTCATACTCTTAGTGAGGCAATCCGCAAGTTGTAAATGCGTCGGTATCCATCTCAACTCATCGCCACAGGGATGGTATAGGACGTGCGTTAGCTCGTCCTCTTCCCAAAGTCCTTGGCGAAGTCCGGACATCTCTATGGCAAGGCGTTTATCCTCGCAGGACTTTGGAATCGACGCTGTCAAGTGATCCGAAAGGGACCTGCAGTCCGTATACTGCAGGTGGAACATCGATCTCTTGGCGACTTCTTCCCAGTTCTGTGACCGGGGCAGTTTGCCGAGTACTTCGAGTACTGCTGCTCGAATGCGGTCTCCATGCTCTATGGCATGTTGCAACGAGTAAGCCTCACACTGCAGTGTGGCGCGACAAACCCGTTTCATGGTGGACGAGGAGAACGAAATGAGGTGCATCTCATGCGTTGGCGCGTTCTTGTCCACCGCCGACTGTGCGGAAGTGAGATAGTGGAAACGGCCTCTCTGCGACTTATGGTTCGCCTCTCCTGCAAAGGAGGCGTCGCAAAACGTGACGACCGCCAGCTCCCCTGTATTCCAGGGTAACTTAGCGCTGTACGTGATCGGCCTATCCGCATCTCCTAACGCCAGTGCTACTACGCGGTTTGCTTCACGGAGCGTATCCACCGTGGCTGTCGTAACACGCTGCTGCAGGGCATTCACCCTATAGGCAAGATCAGGTCTCGTGGCGCGGGCCACCCAAGCCAGCGATCCTATAACGGATCTCAGCGCTGTGCGCTGGCCATTCGAGACTGGAGTCGTGCCCTTTTCGGATTTATGTATATCGATCGGGCGAATTGCACGCGTGTTGTCCCTACAGTTTATACTGATGGTCCCATCGGCGCTTTGCACATACTCGCGTCCGCAGAAACGGAACTTCTCAGTCTCTATGCGACCGATCTTAAACTTATCCAGCAGATTCTGGATAGCCGGCTCGCCTTCGGCGGTAGCAGCCCACAGGAAATCATCCACGTGGGTGCACAAGCAAGCGCACAAACGACCACCTTCTCCTGTAATATAGTACAGGGCTGACAGAATTTGCGAGGCATTTAAGCCAAATTCTCGGCAACTCTCCTTTATACGGAGGTAAAGGTTCCGACCCGCGTCGGTGGTGCCGTACACGGGTACTCGGGCAATCATATACCCGGCTCGCTGAATCTCTGCATCGGGCACACCCTTAGGGTGTTTGGGAACCCGAAGAATGAGGAGACGCTCAAGGGGTTTCCCTTGGAAGTATGCGTTCGTTATATCGGCTGCTTTGAGCCGCAGGGCCAACGAAACCGCCCATGAACACAGAAGGGCTATACCTTCCGGCTCGGCCGTGGGGCTGTCCGCCCTGATATCCTCCTCATTCGAGATATGCTCGAAGTTTCCACATGCGACCAAGCGTGCTTTCCACTTGGGAGTGTATGCTGCTGTCCCCTTTAGGTGTTCATTCTTATCGGTAAGAACCCATTTGGTGGGGATACACACGTGGCCAGCCTTTGTAAGCTCCTTAAACTCCTTGTCTGTGCAAGGGACCACTGCGTTGAATTCAGTGTACTTCTGCCATTCAGTCTTCATGGCAGCATCCAGCCCCAGCTGTACCTCTACAGGGGCCTTATGGTAATCCAGGAGCGAGGCCATGTAGCCAACTTCGACATTAGAGCTGAAGGCGTCTTCCCCATCAGGGGTGAGAGCGAAGGCCTTGGATTCCGCCTCTCGACTATCCGAGGGCTCAACTGCTGGCACTGTCGTGCCAATCGCAGCTGTGTGCGACGCTGCTGCCAATCCGTCGTCTTCCTCAGGAATGTATTGACACGGATGGGCTTCTGGCAGTCCGTTAGCACGTATGTGCTCCGCAAGTTTCGAATGTTCGAGCCATATGTGCTGGGCGATATTTCGCCGATGGCATCGCCGCCAACTGGCCTCCGAACACAACAGAAGTATTCGGTGAAAGTCATCGTGGGCCTCGCTAACTATTCTAGCGATCGTACAGAGCCCTTGGTCTGTTTGCAGGTTGGCTTCAATCCCGCCCCGATTCCTGTTGCCTAACTCGGGGGCGTGACTGTACACAACCCCCTTTGCAAAGCATGTGGCAGAAAGCTCATCACAATTGTATTGTGGATGCCGAACGCTGTACGGGTGGCTTCTGCAATCTACGATTTCCTTAATCCCGTACTCGTGGATGCGCTCTAGGAACGTCTCGATGGGAAGATCGGAGTGACCCATGGTGTATATCCCATCGCCTTTCCTGCCAAAGGTGTTGGGCGCATCCCTATATATGGGGTAGCCTAGATCCGACAAAAGCTGTATGTCATCTTTAGACAACTTACCGAGGTCACTCACCGTGTATGCGGAGAGACTGTATCTTTCCCCTACAAACGGTGCGACCATGTGCACGTCCTTCGGGCGAAACTTAAGAACCTTGTTCTTAGTATCATGGACGGTGCCATACATTGTCGTGTTTTGGATACGCACGGGAGTTGTACCCGCGGCTTCTTCCACCCATAGGCCGCCTCCACGATACTCGCCCACACCTATAGTGTAGTTATACGAGCCAGGAGTGTTCGCTAGGTCTCTATGGGCCTCTGCGCCTCTGTTGGTAAGCTGAACGCTACTCCACTGTGGAAGATGGTGACCGGCTTGCATACTGTGATGCAAGAGGTAGTGGTTAAGGTACATGGCGAACGACGGTCTCTCGCGCGTTGGTCCAGAGACACCAACAAGACCACCGTGCCGATATACTCCCACCGCGAGGGCTATGCTCCCGGGATCTCCATCATCTAGGAGCGGGCGCGTGTACGCCTCGCGTCGGTCGCGGTCATAAGCGCGAAGGAGGGCCAGACACTCATCTGGAGAAAAACCCTGAGCATCTATCAGGCCTTTTGCCATGATCTCAACTTGATCAAGCTCTTCCGCAACTAGTGCGTCATCACGGCCTCCTACTGGCGATCGCGACCGGGCGGTTTCGCCCGTCTTATCTTTGGCGCGAAACCTTGCAGGGGTAGATGGCGCTGGCATCGGTGTGCCGGGCATCATCGCTGGCGTCGATGGTGCTGGCATAGGCACATCGTGCGCGACTGCCGGTGTAAGCGGGGCAGCTGCAGCCACTGGACGTGGCGTCGCTGGTGCTGTGACCGGATCCGCTACGCGCTCATCCTGGAACCTTTGTTCCGGCCCATGTACGATGGCTTCCGGAAGCACTGGTTCACCTGCCAAAACGCGGTGCGCTGCAACTTCGATTTCATCAGCTGGGCGCATCTTCCTAGCGTTCACAAGTACAGGGATATTCTCGTGTAATACCCAGTACGCATTCTCTGCCTCACGTCCTATGACGCGGCTAACCGTGGACCATACGACTCCTGGGCTGCCAGGGACGTTGTCCCGACGGTAGATAACTAAATCACCAACCTTATAATCAGTGTCTAGAGGAGCTGCATTACGCTGTAACGCTTTGGCCACCTTGCGGGAAGTCTCTAAATGAACAAAGGCCTTTTTGGCTTCCTGCCGTGCTCTGTGCCGAATGTAGTATACACTCGTCTCATCATACTTGGTGAACAATGTACCAAGACTTTCGGATTCATCTAGCACGGAACCCGGTGTTCGAGGCTGCTTTCCCAACACGTGTTGTGGTTCTTAGTAGTAACACTCTCGGTAACGACCGCCTCCATCTCCTCGATATTCGAGGGCTGAGTCTCCTGCGCGACTTTTCTAATGATGGCCTTAGCAAGTCCACCATGGCGTTCGACCTTTCCAATAGTCTGCGGACTCTCG